TTAGTGCAGGTGGACGGGTGTTGAATGACTACAGGAGCAGGTTTTCACCCGAAATGGTTGAGGCATTGATGATATCCAGGGATCATATGCACGCGCTTACAAGAAGACAAAGTTTTAGTGAAAATGAGCGAATTCAATATGATTTGGATGACATATCATCGGGCAACGCGACTGAAATGTCTGTCTCCTCCGATGATTGATTAACAATTTATTTTTTACTATTTCATTTCATTTCGTTTTTTTCCTGGTTTTTGTTTTTGTTTTTTTATTTATTTATTAGATTATTGAGGTGAAGTATAATGCAAATGATTGGTAGGCTAGTATTTACCAACCTAGTTGGGATATACTTGACCTATAGTGATGCAATTGCTAGACCATTATCAGTAATCTACACCTAATTTATTTAATAATATCAATTTTTGTAATATTTTTATTTCATTTTGAAATAAAAATTATTCATTCAATAAATGTTATATAAATAATTTAATATTGCATTATTAAAAATTTCAATTTCATATATATAAAATTATTCATTTCGAAAGGAAAAAAAATTACACAATTGCATACTTTTTTAGTTATAAGTTTACAATTAAAAAAACATAAGTCATATATAATTAAATTTAAATATCACCATAAAACATTACATAACCAAACAAAATATCTCATTAATCGTAATTAAAATACTCTAGTATAATTTTTTTTTAAATTTTTATTTCTAATATTAAAAAAAAAAGCCCGACTAGGCCCGAGTCCAGGCCCTAGGCCCTATTAGGAGTGGGCTTGGGCTTGGGCTTGGGCCTGGGCCCCACTTTTTGGCCCATGGCTCGGCCCGGCCCGTTAAAAAACAGCGACCCCACAAAGCCCGAATAGGCCGGGCTGGGCCATTATTACACCCTTATTCTTACCTCTAGTACCTAAATGACGGGACATAAAGGATTTAAAGTCATTGTTACTGATAGTAGAAACTATTACTACTGAGTTGATTGATGATATTTCATAATCCAAATCAAGATAAAAGTCTCTCTCATCTTCGACAATCATATTGTGCAATATAATGCAAGTCTTCATTATGTTACCAAGAATTTTGGTATCCCAAAAACGTATTGGACCACCTACAATTGAAATTCGAGATTGAAGCACTCTGAATGCCCGCTCTACATCCTTCTTTGCTGACACTTGCATCATTCAAAAATGTTGCTTCTTTGCTCATTGGGGAGAAAAGATTGTCTGAACCAGTGTTGCCCATGTAGGGTATATATCATTAGCAAGGTAATAACTCATATTGTAAGTGTGTCCATTAATAATGTAATTAGTAGGCGAAGTTTTGCCTTGGGCAAGATCAGAAAATAAAGGCGAACGATCTAAGACATTCAAGTCATTGTGTGATCTAGACATTCAAAAAAATGCATGCCAAATGCACAAGTCATAAGAAGCTACTGTTTCAAGAATTATGGTTGACTTTTTTTGATAGCCCACATATTGACCTTGCTATGTCGTTGGACAAATTTTTCACTCCCAATGCATGCAATCTAAATTTCCCAACATACCCGGAAACCCACGAACCACCCCAATAGCAAGTAATCTAACAATATCAGTTGTTGATGGAGATCTAAGACATTTAGGTCCAAAGATTTTGATAATTGAATTGCAAAAATGTTTCAAACTTCAATTGTCGCGCTTTCCCCAATTCGCATATAATCATCAATTGCATCTGGTACCACTCCATATGCGAGCATTCTAATTGCTGAAGTCATTTTTTGAAGTAGAGACAATCCAAGAATATGAGCTGCATCTTTTTTTTTTTAGAACAAAATATGTGTCGTGTGCTTCAATGGCATTCAAAATTTACAAATACAGATCACACCGCATTCTAAAACGTCTTCGAAATGTTGAAGATGAATAAACTGGATTTACGACAAAATAATCCGCAAACAATCGATCATGACCTGTTTCTTTCGTGACGTATGTATTTATGTCCTACAACAGAGCCACATTTTTTCTTTGGTTGATCACTTGCTGTCAGAATCTGTATTATACCAGCATTATTTATCTCATAAAGACCCACAAGTGCAACAATTTTTTCATCATTACTTTCATCATCCGAGGATGAGAAAGAAGAGGAGGACGAAAAATCAGTGAACAAATAAGGAGTTGAAGAAGTCATTATGCTTTGGTTTTCTGTTATGGGTTGGTTCCAGATACAATGTTGTTTGCTGGGTTTATTTACATGGTTTAATTTGTTTATATATATCTTTTGGAGGGAAATAATTAATGAAGACAAAAATAAATAGAAAATGATTAATGGAGGGAAAAACAAATTGCAAAGGAATTGAGGGAAACAGAAATAGAGGGAATTTTTTTTTTTAGAATTGATTGATTACATTGGCCGGTCGACCGGCCAGACTTCTGCCCGGTCGTTCTCCTGGTCGACAATGTTTTGATGACAGCCCACAATGCTCCGTTGGAGTGCTGGATATTAGATAAAAATTTTACTCAAATTTGATAAAATAAATGATACACCATTAGAGATGCTATAAGGTAAATCAAGCACTTGGTTTTAATACAATGGAAGTTGTTTATGTTAAAAAAAATAAAGACAAATGCAAGAAAATAATGATTCGATTTTAATTTTAGTAATATAACAAGGAAATCAAATAAAACCACTGATCGGTGCAAAAATGACTATTTGAGCTTCATTGATAAACAAGTTATTGGAATAAAACAGGCACATGATAAATAAGTTTTTGTAATAAAACATGCACATGAACATCCTATGCCGTATATTTAAGAACTCATGATGAAATTTATATTTCCTTTATCGAAGTATTGAATAGTATATAAGATGGCATATCAATTAAATTTATAGTTGTATAAAATACCTAACTTATTTCCATTTTTTTTTTCTAAGAAACTGTGCACCGATAATTTAAAAAGGCCTTTTATTGTGGAGTACTTGTATCTTATACCATGCTATAATTCATTATGAATAAAATATACAAATAAAGAATCGACGACAATTACAAATGTTAAGTAAAATATCTGCATTTTTTTCCATACATGACCAAACGTAACAATTTTATATAACCTAATTTGAAAGCTAAAATAATTATTTGTATTCTATACTCACTAGTTATTTAACTATTTTCATGGTTGTTGCCGTGTAATTAAAATAGCCAACACTTGTTAATTGTAGTCATTATTATTCCTTTATGAGTAATAACCTACTTATAGCTACGATCATACATGTAATCCAAAAAAAGTTGGTAAAAACACTCTTACAAAAAAAAATAAAATTAGTTGCTTGCATACATCATTGTAGAGGGAAGTCTTAAGTTTGTTTCACTTGGTCATAATTTAAATATATCTATCTAGCTATATATATATATATATATATATGTATAAGAGCAATGCATACATGATTTGTTCATGTTAAAATTTTACAGAAACTATGCTCCTAGAAATTGATGCTTGAGAAGCATTTATGTCAGGGATATAAATAAATTGAGCTCGTAATTAATAGCTCCAATTTAACTCATTTGTATCTAGCTTAAACTCGTTAATCCGTTGGGTGTTTGGCAAGAAAAAAAAGAGCTTGGTTTAGGTTAAAATTTACAAAAAGACAAAATAGACTAAAATAATTAATAAGACAAAATGTCACATTAAATCCATAATCATTTCACTTTTTCTCTCACAAACATCACATTTAACTACAAAAAAATTCAATTATCTATCCAAACACAAAAATTTTAGCCTATTAAAATAGCCAAAAACTAAAATAGCCTACTAAAATAGCAACTTTCCAAACATCCACCGAATAAACGAGCACAATATAACAAAACAAGTCAAGTTTGGTCAAAGCAAAGCTCAAATTGTTCATTGTGCACATATAGCAATACAATACAAATGAAGTTTTCATTATCAATTATTTCCATTCCAACATATGAAGTTTTCTTCTTTCTTTCTAAATACGTGTTTATATAATATATTCGTACGCTATATAAATACGATTTTTATTCTTGTAATAACATTATTTCTTGCTAGGTCTAGGTTACAAAACTTACGTAAGTTTATTTTATTCTCCAAATCTTACGTTCATTTGGCTTGTGATGAGGTTAATCAAACTAAACGTGATATCAATGTAACATTGACAAGCCAAACTCAAATATAGTTTATCAACCTCGATTCGAGATCAAGCCATGCTCAAACAACAAATATCGCCTTTTAGTTCGTTTAAACTTACGTCTGTTTATTTTCTTCTCCAAATCCTGTATTCATTTTGGTTTTTATGACGAGGTTAATCAAATTAAACGTGATATCAACCAAATACTAACAAGCCAAACTCAAATATAGCTTATCAATCTCGATTCAAGATCAAGCCATGCTCAAACAAGAAGTATCGGCATTCAATTCGATTAAACACTGACAAGCTAAATATTCAAACATATTTTATAGACTCAAGATCAGGTCATATTCCTACAACTAATACCGTCGTCCAGTTAAATTCACTTACAGTCCTAATTCTGTCCATATTAACAAATCAATCATATTACCTATCTATACTAACAAATCAACCATATTATCATAAATAGGTAACATGAAGCTTGAAAATTATAGGAGCACAAAATGTAAAAGAAACCAATGGGGAAATAGTACACAAACACAAGTCTCCATCTATGACATGTTTGTAATTGTACCACCACCTTGTCCTTCTTGAAATTTTTCTCTCATTTTAATTTCTCTGTCTTTTCACTCCTTAAAAAAAAAAAAGGAAAAAAAAGAAGCGGTCCTCTATACCTATATAAATCCCTTATTGTCCATCTCCCACTGTTCATTCTCTCTCTCTAGAAATATAGTACTTTTTCTGAATGACATGTTTGTAATTGTACCACCACCTTGTCCTTCTTGAAATTTTTCTCTCATTTTAATTTCTCTGTCTTTTCACTCCTTAAAAAAAAAAAGGAAAAAAAAGAAGCGGTCCTCTATACCTATATAAATCCCTTATTGTCCATCTCCCACTGTTCATTCTCTCTCTCTAGAAGGCGCAGTATTTAGGGCCAAGCCCTCCGGACCTTCTTGTTTATAGAAGGCGACGCTAACGTGCGCACCTCACTGTCTTCGAAGAATCCATTAGCGCAACTAGACCCAGTGCTTCGATACACAGGTCTGATCTTCATCATACTTTCTTTGAGCGTCACTCACTCTGATAGAAAACCCTAGTTGTTAATTTAATTTAATTTTTGTTTTTGTTTTTGTTTTTTTTTGAATTTTTGAAAATCTGTAGAGGGGAATTCGTAGAAGCATTGATAGAACCTGGCCAGAACTCGATGCCTGAGACCTGATACGATTGATTGTATACATGTATATTTGAATTCTAGGGTTTGGATTGGATATCTGAATAAATTTGTTTTTTGGGGGTTAGCTGAAATTTTGTTGTATATGGGTTTGAATGGTTGAAGAGAGGAATTGTTGTATGAGTGTCATTCGAGAATGGATTGATGGAATGTGATGGGTGGGATTCGAGATCCGTTCAGGTGGGTTGCATGTTGGTTCTGACAAGAAATCTGTGCTAGGGTTAGGTGTGGACAGTGCGTCTTTACAACCTAGGGCTAAAAAGATGGAAAGGGAAGAGAAGAAGTCTGGTTCTAAGAAAAGATCAAAGCCAATTCAGGTTGGATTTGATGCTGCTGATGATGAGCCAATTGGGGCTTTGTTTAAGCTGAAAAGCAAAAGAAACCCTAAGAAGGTTAAGAAAGAATCGGATGGAGTTGGGAAGAAAGACAATGATGTCGAGGTTTTGGCAGAAAAAATGGTGGTTGTGGATGAGGATTTGGGAGGCATGGAAGATACATTAGCTTGTTTTAGAAAGAAGCTGAAGGGTCCAAAGAAAGACAGTGGATCTGAAATGGAAGTGGGGAGGAGTTTGGATTTGGATGTGGCAGAAGCATCAGCCCAACTGTTGAATGGACCTGCAAAGGGCCAAGGTTTGGATATGGAAACAAAAGCTGTAGAAAAAGGTGAGGTGACTGGTGAGGATGGATGTGACGGGAGTACTGATAAAGATCTAGATAATAGGGGTAAAATGCAAATTAAAGAATCGAAGCGGGCTTCAAAGCCGAAGAAGACTGGAGGTCATACTGGGTTTCACAATGCGTTGAATGGTCAGGGATCTGGGGATAATTCAATACAGAATCAGAAAGAAACCGTTTTAGGGTCTGGGGAAGGCTCCAATCCTTGTCTGGATGATAATTTAGAAGATCCATTGTCTGCCATTTTTCGGAAGGCACCCGCTGTCCCAGAAGAATTCAAAAGAAAAAGAAAGAAATCAGATGAGAAGAAATCGGGATCGATTAGGAAATCTGGCGGTCATTTGAGATCGAAAAACAGATGGGAAACTCAAGATCCTCAGAATGGGTTGAGCTCTGATGATGTCTCGAATGGGATTCAGATACGTCAGATATCTGATGAGAACATGCAAGAGAATCCACCTTCCATTGACACTATGTCAGGGCTTTCTTCAACCCCAGTAATCGCAGGTGTGAATCTGAGATCTAGTGATAACTTGCATGGGGGTTGTCATGAACCTATTTTAGAAGATACAGTTCCAAGTTCCTTTCTTCAAAGGTCTAAATCCTGCCTAAGTGTATGTTCCAGTAAGAGTACAAGACTTAAAGATGGTGAAGTTGACAGACAGATAGGTGGGATTCAAGAGGGACCCCCATTGAATGGCTGTGGCTTGGACCATCTGCGTGATGGAGATTCTGATGCCCAGAATAGTAAGGGTGGATTGAGGGCAATTGATTTGACACATGATGTTGCTGAAGTGCCTAATTCAATATCTGTCCCCTTGCAAATGGACGAAATCCATCAGTTTGATGTGGGTGTGCCAAATGCAGGCTTAAATGATGCAATGGACCAACAACTCTCGAGCCCTTCTACAATTCACATTTCTAGTATGGATCAGAAAATTAGCTCTTCTTCCGGAAAAGATCAGGAGCCTTGTTTTGACGATGCTTCATTAAACAGATCGTGTGAAGATAAATCTCAAGAGACCCTTAAACAGCTTATGGGCAAAATTTTGGAGCGTCCAGCAAAACCCCCTTTGCAGTACTCATCAAATAATAAGAAGATGGATGTGGCTTCAAAAATGGAAGTTGACCTTGATTTTCACCACCCATCCCTGAAAAGTATCCACAGTTCTCAGCTTCAGTCATCATGCTCTGCGTTGGGTTCACCAAAGAAGGAAGAAACTTCTAGTGGCTGTGATGGTTTAGATCAAGTTCCTGGGATGTGCATTGAAGAACTAGATCTTACCTCAGTTCAGATGTGTTGTTCCTCTGTCTATCAGAATCAACCTTCCGATGATGTGCCCAAAGAGACTTGTGTTCCAAACCATGTTCATCTTTCAGGCAGTGGAGAGGCCAATGGAGACTCTTCTCCATCCATCTCGCCGGATCGAAATGGAAGTTATGCAGAACGTAAAGGGAATCAGCTGCCTGATCCGAAATTTAAAGATAAGAAGCAATCAGTAGTACAGCGTGTTTTGCGGAAGCCTAAAAAGCACAGGCATGGGGATATGGCTTATGAGGGGGATGCTGATTGGGAGAATCTGATTCAGCAAAGTTTTCTTGAAAGTCGTTTGGTTGAAGATGGTGATCAGTCCTTCAGAGCAAGAGAAAAATTTAATTCCTCTTCAAATGTAGTCACAGAGGCTGAAAATAAGAGGGCAGCAGCAGTATCAGCTGGATTGAAAGCTCGTGCAATTGGTCCAGTTGAGAAGATTAAGTTTAAGGAGGTATTGAAGCGCAAAGGTGGGCTTCAGGAATATTTACAATGCAGGTTAGTTTTCCAATCCTAGTTTTTTTTTTTATTATTTTATTTTAATATTGGTTGCACTGTTCCACTTTTTGGTTTTTAGCATTGTTGTCAAATCATGAAAAAAAAACGGCATAGTTCTCAAATTAAGATTCTAGCTGTGAACTGATATCTTTTATTTATTTTTTTTGAATTGTGAATTGTATGGTTCAATTACATTTAAAAGAGAGATGTAGAAAATGTTTAATGTCCATATAAAATAAAGTGGTGTATTGTAAAAATGTGTAACTTGTCTAGTGACTGATTGCACCATCCCGTGGGTAAGGTGATGACATAGTCACTGATCATTCTCTTTGATTCTTCTTTTTGGGTTATATTATTATTATATATATACACATATACAGGTACTTTTAGAGTTGCAGTGAAATCATTACCTTTTTTGTGAAGAAAGGGAGACCCTAGTATTATTATGAGAATAGTGGAGGTAGAATTCATGGCGGTAAGTTTGAGACACAAAAATAGTCTTTCTAGAATGGGGGTAAATTTGCGTACATCTTGCACTCCTTAGACCTTGTTTTTCCAGGAACCTCGTGCACCTGGTCACGCCTTCTAAGAATGCTTAATTTTTTGAATAATTGGTTCTCTCTTTTTCATTATGGCTTTCATTCTATTTAAACCATTTCAAGAAATTTATTTTGCTTTTGTGTATTCATTTATAGTTTCCATTTTTAGATTAAGAATTTAATCTACTCATTGTTTCTTTCCATTTTTATTCATCTAAAACTTTTTGAAGACTTTTTCTAATGTCTTCTAGAATTGCAAATGGTCATTAGCTATTTGGCTAGTTCCAGAATTCTCGTTATATATTTATATATATACATTGCTAAGGAAAGAAAATTTTATTAAAATAATTGCCTGGGGCACCACACATAGCTCTCCCGTTGCAATGAATTTTAATGAATCTATGCAAAGTGTGTCAATTCAAGAGTGCAAATAGGAGGGGTTGGGGTACAAAAAAAGAATTTTTATGGTACCCAAAATTGAAAGGCTTTTGAATCACTTAAATCATCTTTGGATTTGAATTTTTTTATTGGTTGCGTAGATTCTTTAAGATTCTTTGCAACGTGAGAATCAAGCCCCATGATTTTATTGGAAATTGCAAAGTTTAAATTGGTAATCTTGGGATTTTCACAACTTCATGTATAAAATCTTTACTTATTATTATTTTTTTAAATATTTTCGCAACTATGG